GACAAAGAAACATGTCCCACATGAAAGGACAGAATTAAGCTCCAGAAAAAGAACTAAACAAAATATAGACAAGCAATATGTCAGATGCAGAGTTCAAACACTGGTTATAAGGATGCTCAATGAACTTAGAGGAAGAATAGATGAACTTAGTGAGAACTTTAACAAAGGGAGAGAAAACGTGAAAATGGAGATGGAAAATATAAAAGAGAACCAGTCAGAAATGATGAACATGATATCTGAAATGAAGAGTACATTAGAGGGCATCAAAAGATTGGATGAAGCGGAGGACTGAATCAGTGATTTAGAGGATGGGGTAGCAGAGGACACCCGACCAGAAGAGCAATAAGAAAAAAGATCCCCCAAAAAAGACCAATTAAGGGGCCTCTGGGACAATATCAAGCATATCAACATTCATATCACAGGGGTACCAGAAGGCGAAGAGAGTGAGCAAGAAATTGAAAATCTATTGAAAATATGATGGAAAACTCCCCTCACTTGGTAAAGAAAATAGACATACAATCCCAGGAAGCTCAGAGAGCCCCAAACAAGATGAACCCAAAGAGGCCCACACCAAGAAACATCATAATTAAAATGCCAAAGATTAAAGACAAAGAAAGAATCTTAAAAGCAGCAAGTGAAAAGCAATTCGTTACCTACAATGGAGCTCCATAAGACTGTTAGCTGATTTCTCAACAGAAACTTTGCACGCAGAAGGGCTTGGCACAAAATATTTAAAGTGATAAAAGGGTAAGATCTACAACCAAGATTACTCTACCCAGCAAAGCTATCATTTAAAATCGAAGGATGGATAAAGAGCCTCTCAGACAAGGAAAAGCTAAAGGCGTTCATCACCGCCAAGCCAGTATTACAGGAAATGTTGGAGGGACTTTTTTAAGAAGAAAAAAAATATGTATCAAAAATATGAATAATAAAATGGCAATAACTACAGACCTATCAACAAGTACTTTAAATAAAATAGAGTGGCTAAATGGATAAGAAAACAAGACCTTACATATGCTGCCTACAAGAGACTCACTTCAGATCAAAAGACAAACACAGACTGGAAAGTAAAGGGAAAGAAAAAGATATTTCATGAAAATGGAAATGAAAAAAAAAATCTGCGGTAGCAATACTTATACGAGACAAAACAGACTTTAGAAAAAAGGCTATAACAACAGACAAAGAAGGGTCAAGTAATCTCACTTCTGGGAATTTATCTGAAGAAACCCAAAATACTACTTTGAAGGGACATGTGCATCCATATGCTCATTGCAGCATTATCTGCAATAGCCAAGATATGGAGGCAATCTGGGTGGCCATCAATGGATGAATGGATAAAGAAAAGGTGGTACATATATACAATGGAATAGTACTCAAGCATAAAAATGAATGAATGAATGAATGAATGAATGAATGAATGAAAGAAATCTTGCCATCTGCAACTGCAACAACATGGATCGATCTAGAGGGCACTGTACTGAGTGGAATAAGTCAAGCAGAGAAAGACAAAGGCCATATGATTTCAGTTACATGTGGAATCTAGAGAACAAAATAAATAAAACAGAAACAAACTCATAGTACACGATGACATTTTGAGGGTTGTCGGATGGCAGGAGTTTTAGGGGGATGGGTGAAAATAAGGAAGGGACTAAGAAGTAAAAACTGGTAGTTACGAAATAGTCATGGGGATGTAAAGTATAGCATAAGGAACATAGTCAATAATGTAATAACTGTATGGTGTCAGATTTATCAGGGTGATCACTTCGTAAGTTATATAAATGTCTAATCATTGTTGTACACTTGACACTAATATAATATTGCATGCCAACTATAATTGAAAAAAACATGTAATGTGCTATGCAAATGTATTGACCACATACAAAAGACTGTGTAGGTATTGCATAAAATCTCACATGTGGCATCTCCGGTTGCCTGAATATTTAAAATATTTATTGTGTGTGTATTCATTCCCAGGCCTCTCTCCTGGAGATTCTCATTCAGTAGGTTTGGGTGGGCCCTCCATTGGATTTATATGATCAGGCAACTTTGGAAACATGATCTAGAAGAAAGTTACAATATGCAGCAACTCTCTTAAAATATTAGAAAATATAACATATTAACTGGTTGCAGAAAAAGCTGACTTGCTAAAGATTTTCTTCTGGAAAGCTTTGCCTCAACAGAAAAGAGTGAGGTAAGGCTCATCTTCTAGGCCTCAAAAACAAAACAAAACAAACAAAAAAACAGCATCACTTGGCAGTGTCCAGGAAGTCTGGATTCTTGCCCACAAGGAGTTCAGTTTCCTTTTTAAGGAGATGAGAAAGATTCCGAATAGAGAAAAATGTTTGCACATTTGATCCTCAGGTGATCACCTTGATCACATGGGCAGCACAATGTTTGAAGACCAAATAAAATATTACAGAACAGAAAATATCTATTAGCTAACCTATCTGCTCCTCAGTTCTGAATGCAGACATAAAGTGGTGACTATCAATTACCTTCAATAATTTCTGGAAAGAGACAGAGCATCCAAATAAGGTAAATAAATAGTAGCAATAAAAGTTTTAAGGCAAAAGGCAACACATAATGGAAATGAACCTGACAATGGTGACAGATGTGGATGAGATTGTTTCAAGGTAGATTTAAAGTTTGCTAACATCCTGGCAAAGAATTGAGGTGGGGAAAAGAAAAATAAGGGGAGGGAAATGGAATATCAACAATGTCTCTTCTCCACCAACGCAAAAACATATGGTAGATGCGACTATGTGAAAAAGAAATCAGATTAAAAGCAATTAGTAATCGGCCGCAAAACAGGATAAATTCTTAAAATGATAGAATCATTTCTTTTTGAAATTGTAACCTCAGCCCCACACATTTCTAAAGGCATATGATGGTACTTTGGTGAAAATAGGTGTATACAAAGAGATGGATAGATATGTCAAGAAGTTAGAATATATCCTACGGCAGACTACCTTCATACAAAGTCATATATTCTCCAGAAGATTATATGTGAGTGTCCTTCATACAAAGTCACGCAATGAAAAAAAAAACATTTTGAGTCTAATTTTTCAGTACTAGTTCTAATATCATCAACCACCTTCAAATGTCTAATAAATCAATTTAACTTTGAAAATTCATATTTAATTGATGAGAACGTTTGGTCAGACTTCAGAATGCTGGTAAAAGTTGTGAGTTTTAAGCAAAATAAATACACAAAGTCTTGAAAGGCCAGTGTGGATGAAAACCTTCAGCTTGCCTAAGTTTCTAACTTCTTATGGAACTTGCATACAGCACCCTCATTTCATGGCACAAAACCCATACAGATGACATCATAAACGAGGTATTAGTCTAAAAGCTAAGACTAATTAAGTTCCAAGAACAATATGTCTTAGGACTTACTTCTAATACACCCATCAGAAAACATTTTCTTGAGGAACAGCAACGGGGAAAACTGTTCAAATGCACATTTCCAAACATAAAAATCTAAGGAAAATATTTTCCATTTTATATTTTTAAAATATTCTGAAGGTGGTTGCACATTGGAAAGGCCTCAAGAATAACTTCTGACATTGAAAATGTGAGTGTCCTCTGGTGGTCATTCAAAGATCATTGATTAAAAAACGAACAAACAAATCGCATCTCCTAAGGTGGATAATTTCTTACTCTCATGAAGTTGTGCAGGTTGAAAATGAGCAGGCTCAAGATCTGCTCAGATAAATCCAGATACCTGATGAACAATGGGCTGAAGAGAAACCAGATTGATTCTTAAAGTTTTTGAGGTCAAACTTTAGGAAGCAGTGTGGAGTTGTGGCAAGTGGATTAGGGGCATAGAGACTGGCAAACTATCCTTTTCTCGACCCATTAATTGGGGGAGTGGCTTTGGGCAAGTAATTTCACCTCTCTGTGCCTTGGTTTATTATCTACAAAATGAATTGGTAGAACTTTACCACAAAATCCCTTCCAGCTCTAAAATTTGATGAAACAACTTGGTGGGGGCAAATATAATGCATTCTGCAAACTGTTTCTTTGAAGTATTAAAGACCACCAAGAATTACACTGACCAGACAGCTCAAATTAATTCTGTGTCAGCTCTCCTGTTGTCTGGGACACAACCGACTGACTCCTTAGCTGCCTGTGCTGCACTGTTTCTGTTTTCACAGGCCATTCACCAAGCACTCAAATCTATGGATCTCATCTGAGGTTTGGAAGGTAAAGCAGGTAATACCCTCATTTACATAAGGAACTAAGACGTGGGGCTTAAATGTCCCGTTTAAAGTCTCATTAGTAAATGACAAAGTGTACTCTATCTCATTGCTCTAAAAAGGCAGACGAGGGGTGGCCTGGAGGTGGCATTGAACAATACTTTCCCTGAACAGCAAACCCTCCCAGGAAAAGGCCTCAAGCCTTTTGGGTTCAAATCCCTTGAAGGTCAGGTCAGCACGGCTTGCAAAACTCATGGTTTGTATCCCGCCAACTCGGAATTCAAGCGATTGTGAGTGTGGTAAGTTTTAGCGGGGGTTGGGGGACGGGGTGAGCTGCGAGGCAAATGGAGCCTATACAGCCTAGACCCTTGGTCTTCGAGGTATGGGTTATGCCCGAGATAGGTCAGTCACCTGGGAGCCGGTTCCTCTGCCTCGGGCCTCGGACGCACACTGTCCGCACCAAGGGTGCCAGCTTCTGCTTTAAAGCGCCCGCCGCCAGGCCTCCACACCGGAACATTTCGGCAACCGCTACTCTGGACCTCTTTCCTTTCTTCTCACGCACCGACAGACGGGTCAAACACAGTGGGCCCCGGCCAGTCCCCCCCCAGGCCCCCGCTCCCTTCACACGCACTCCTCGCAAGCTCCTCCTCCCAGCTCCGGGTGGGCATTGGACAGTTAAGCTTGCCTGCTAGTGCAAGGGAAAAGGAAGCGCGACTGGAGGCCTTCTGCGCAGGCTTAGTACTCAGCGCCGCATTGCGATTGGCCCGCACGGAGAGAAGATCTGCGCATGTGCTTAGCTGCCTGCACGCTTGCAAAGTCTGCCGCCCGGCTTGCTTGTAAGTTTCCACGAGTTGGTGACTGTGCGTTCCGCTAGGCGAGTTCGGAACGCTGTCCAAGGAGGTACCCGTGGGGCCATTTTGCCTGGCTGTTGTGGCGGGTGCTGCCGCTGTGTCGACAGAGGAGACTGATAACAGTACCTCACGAAGCATGGCCCCTGCACCGAATTTTGTTTTGGGCCACTCGCTAGTGAGTACTAAGCCTTCCGGATTCTCTGGCTGGAGTCCACTTCCAGTCTTACCATAGGTCTGAGCCGGGGCTCCTGACTTCCCAGCTTCAGATTGGATATCTGTCCTTTACAAATTGCTGGCACTTTCCCACCCAGCCCCTTTTCCCCCGGGCGAGTATTTACTCCGTGCTCTGTTTCCCCATATCGCTTTTTATAGTGTGCAATTCTGAGTCCTCGATATTGTACCAGGTGCTGTGGGTAGTCTTCTGCTTATTATGGCTTCTGTGTTTGACAGCAGGTGCTGGCAAAAAGCGTTCGTGCTCACTAGACTTTCTGTGAGAGAAATCCTCAGCAGGACTTGTGAGAGGAGTCGTGAGAGAAGTAGTGTAAATAGGTGTTTTGATTCTACCAAATGTAAGCTAAATTGGAAATAAGTTTTTGGCTGTATGCATAACATAACATACGCTTTTTTCCAGCTTTTGGGTTACATATTCATTTGACAAGTATTTATTGAGCACTTGCCACGTAGACAATACTATAAAAGGGGTCCTGGGGGATACGAAAAGTATAGGAAGTGGTAGTGTCTAATTGGAGAGATGACATATACTGGTCATTCTGAATAATAAATAATATCTGATGTAGTGCCAGAGCAAGAGAACAAGAGTATGAGATGGAAATGCTATGCAAGGACTTCATGCAAGAAGTGTTACTTGAGCCTGTATCTTGAAGGATGAGTAGTGAAATTCAAATAGTGGAGGAGGAGTGATATTTCAGATAGTGAATATACTAGGACCAAAGGTAATGTTTTTTGTGGTTAAACAGCATTGATTTTGGATCTAGTTTGCTCCAGGTTGAAACTTGGCTCTACCGCTTGGACAAGTCACTTAACTGTGCCTCACTTTCGTCATCTACCAATCTCTCAGGGTTGATATGATGATTAAATGAGCTAATATTTGTAAAATATCTTAGAGAAAGCACAGTGCTTTTTAAATTAAAAGGCTTAGAAGTATAAAAGAAACAAAACCCAGTACATTTTCAAGACACAATGGCAGAGAGTACATACTAGGAAGTAAATAAGGACAGATTAATATGGTGGGGCCAGATTTGAACTAGCTGGAGTTTGGCCCCAGTCTTGTAGATGATGACATTATTATTGGGTTTTAGCGGAACAGGGATAGAGACTGAAATTACAAAGGCATTGTTTTAGGAAGTTTAACCCAGATATCGGTCTTTACTGGGTGAAAATGACCCGGGGTTCCCTTAGTAAGAATAATGTTTAGAAGTGCAAGCGATGAATAACTTTTTACCTAGGGCTGCTTTGGGGAATAAATAGTGAAAATATCAATTCCACAATAAGGTAAAATTTATTTGCATTTAATATTTTAAAGGCCTCACAGACATTGATATTTATTGCTATTTCTAAAAGCCAATAATAAACATGGTTTGATTTTGAAAAGTTAATCAGGCAGCAGTGTGCAGTGGCAACTCAGAGAGCTGGAGCTGCAGCAACTTCCAGGGTGCCTGGGACCTGCCCACAGCCAGAGAGATCGACCCAAGGAAGCAAGACCAGGTTGCTGCCACAACTGTCACCACTGGGTGCTCCTGTCTGCCAGAGTCAAGCTACCTGGTCTTCCCTCAGCTCTGGCCGCCTCAGCCTCAATAAACTGAAACCAGTACATGTTTGGCTGCATCTCTCTGGGCCTCCCAGTTGGCTGCGCTGGGATGAATAGATCCAGAAGGCAGCAGAGGCCTGAACGTGGGTGTGGAGGACTTGCAGGTAGAGAAATCCAGAAGCTTTGAAGTCACAAGAAGAGAAGAGACTGCAAGAAGTGAAGGCAAGGTTTGCCTGTGAGAATGTCTTCTGCCTTCAAGTGTCAGAGATAGGGTCTGGAGAACTGGCTCATTCATGGTCATTTTTATAGTCTCTCACAATAAGCCTCATTTTTGAGCAAAGTTTGATATAATTATTTAGTTTCACCAAGGAAAAACAGCATCAACAATAAAATAATGGTTTATGGTTTGAGGTAAAAGAAAGTTAATCATATTTGTTGGTGAAAGAGGCTTTGGAAAACACCATCAAAATCGTGATGATAAGGCACCTATGAAAACAACTGGGTATATTTGAAAGACAATCATTTAATGCACAATTAACAAAGAAAAGGCGTTGTACAGCACTTTAAATTTATTTTTGCAATAGGTGCAATGATGTAGCATACTTATCCATTTAATTAAAAATAATATTTCTTTTTTTTTGCAAAAGCAATATACACACATCGAACTAACTCCAAAAATATAAGTGGAAGTTCCCAAAAATCTTATCCCACAGAGATAACAAACACTTTTTATTAGGGCATGGAACCATTTCGAGATACTACATTTCCAGAAGTTAATGTTTATACCTTACAAATATGTGAACTTTCAGACTTAGTGATGAGTTTTTGCTAGAAGCATACATCTAATTTTATTATGTAGATGTAATTTTTTTATATCGGAAAGCTAGCATTAATTTGGGATATGAATTAGTAAAGCTTCTTTCCACTCTACCTATTGGATATGCCTAATTAATAGGTACCTCCCCACCTTTTTAATAGCTACTCTTCTGTAGCTAGTGATCACCAGGAGCATTAGCTTCAAATATAGACGAGAATGATGCTGGGAACTATTATCTAGATATCAGCCAGTCAAAAAACTAAAATACTATACAATGATGATTGCTATTCACACTGTACCTTGGATTATCCAACTAAGATTAGATCCTTCTCGAGATGGTTTTAATATTGAATAGTATAATTTAGGTTTTTAGAAACGAGTGACCCGCATATTTGCTAAAAGAGTTAGCTATAAATATGTCTTACTCAACTGAAAAGCTTATGAACTGGAAGACCCCATTTCCCCCAGCCATTTTGAGTAACTCAGAATTAGCTGAACATTTGCTTACAGATCTATCATTGATGCACTGAATTGTTTTTCTCATAGTGAGAATGGATTTAGTCATGTTTGTCTCTTCTGTAGGTCAGCCTCACACATGAATAAGATGTCAGCTCACTTGTGCTGCTGGAACCCCTGACCTTGTTCACATTAGCAAATAATTCATATGTTAGTACTATTGGCATATGTCAGTATTACCTTAGCCTATGAAATATGTGGAAGGATGTTTAAAGTCTTAAAAACAAAAGTAATGAGATACTTTATCCTGTGTAAATAATACCTCAGTAAAATTATTTCAAACAGATTCTGAACCCTCAAATCACTTTCAGGAAAGATAATACTGGTCTTGACCAAGACGTGTGATGCTTAGTAAGCTTTGGGAAGCTGCCCTGTAATACTGTAAGAAAGTTCTATTCGCTTATCTTCTTCCAAGCATAATTTAAGCTTCTGGCAAATTAGACCCAACCACTTTGTTCTACATTCAGTCGCAGAGGGGTGAGCCCTCCTAGGGGTTTCCAATTCCTTTGGAAATTCCACCATTCTGGAAGGAGTTATGATTATATGGAGGGCTCGGGAATGGAAGACACTGTGAGGTTTATGCCTTGTCCCAAGATTCTTCCACCTGGTCCTGGAATGGTTAGCCCTGGAAACAAAGTCCCCTTATGCTGGAGCTGCCACTACTAGCTTCTCCCCTTCTATTATCCCCTGCACGGCCCTCTCCCGCAGCAGGCCCTCCCCATTGGCCAGCCAAACACAACTGACAGCAGCAGCCAATAGAAGCTGCTCTCCTGAACATTCCGAGGATGGGTGCTCGTGGTGTGATGGGAGGAGGTTGGTGCCTGGCACT